TTTGTTTAACAAAAAAATATATATTTTATCATTTTGCCAATAAAAAAAAAAAAATTCAGAAAAAAACATAATTTACGATAACAATCTGTGAATATATCGGTTTAAACATGAAAAGAAAAGATATCAAACTACATGGAAGGAAATTGATTATGTTCTCTCTTTTTTTTTTTTTTTTTGTATTATGATAAGCTTTTTCTTTCAACGAAAAAATTATCTCACATAGATTGTGCCTTAGCAAATGTTGATAGAAAATTTATTTCTATGCAACAACTGCGATATGTTGGTTTTTTTTTTTTAAATTTAAAATTTCTGTTCTTTGTTGTTTTTGGATAAAAAAAATTATTGATCAATAAATTTATATACTAGCGCAACTTTTTTGCAAAAAAAAAAAAAAATTTTTTTTTTACGATTTTTTTCTTTGATGTCTTTATTGCTTTTCCAAGAATGAATCTTGTTTTTAGGAATATATAGCGCTTCAAAAACTGGTTTGCAAATTTATTACATACATAGTCTGCAAATTTCATGAATCGTCATAGCAAAGAATTAATGGTAATTGCTTTATTATTATAGAATATTATTATTATTATTATTATTTCATTGTCTCAATCAAAATTTGTTTCACGCAACAAAAATTAGAAAAAACTGATTTTTGTTGTCCTAACTAAAGTTTAATTGGGACAACAAAAATTTTGTTGATTCAATAAAAATATTTGGTTGCTTAAATACCAACCAAACGTTTGGTTGTTAATACCAACCAAACGATTGGTTGTTAATACAAAAATTCCTATGACCAAAGTTAGTTACTATGGCACAAGTTACTTACTATGGCAACAGTTACTATGGCACAAGTTACTATGGCAACAGTTACTATGTCAAAAGTTACTTTGGCAACAGTTACTTACTATGGCAATAGTTACTATGGCAAAAGTTACTATGGCATTAGTTATTTACTATGGCAACTGTTACTATGGCAACAGTTACTATGTCAAAAGTTACTTTGGCAACAGTTACTTACTATGGCAATAGTTACTATGGCTAAAGTTAGTTACTATGGCAAAATTTACTATGGCACAAGTTACTATGGCACAAGTTACTATGGCAACAGTTACTATGTCAAAAGTTACTTTGGCAACAGTTACTTACTATGGCAAAAGTTAGTTACTATGGCAACAGTTACTATGGCAACAGTTACTATGGCAAAAGTTAGTTACTATGGCAATAGTTACTATGGCAAAAGTTACTTTGGCATCAGTTACTTACTATGGCAAAAGTTACTATGGCAACAGTTACTTTGGCATCAGTTACTTACTATGGCAAAAGTTACTATGGCAAAAGTTAGTTACTGTGGCTACAGTTACTATGGCAAAAGTTAGTTACTACACTGAAAAAAGGGTTTGGTATTGACAACCAAACGTTTGATTGGTATTTAAGCAACCAAAAATTTTTTTTGTTGAATTAACAAAATGTTAATTGTCTCAATCAAAATTTGTTTCACGCAATCAAAATTAGAAAAAAAAATGATTTTTGTTGTCCTAACTAAAGTTTGATTGAGACAATTAAAATTTTGTTAATTCATAAAAAAATTTTGGTTGCTTAAATACAAACCAAAAGTTTGGTTGTTAATACCAAACCGTTTTTTCAGTGTACAAAAAGTAAAAAGTTTCATTAATTCTCGAGAAATATGTTTTTGATAATTTAGTAAATTATTTTATTTTATTTTTTTTTTTTGAATTGGAATAATTTTCTTTTATCATTTTTGAAAATTTTTGAATTCGCAATAAGTTAAATTATTGTTTTGATGATAACATTTGAAAAATTTAATACAAGTACTCAATGAATTCAGAGATGAGAGGAAAAGGGTTATCGGTGTTGTGTAAATTGCACTTAGTGTGCGCCGGTGTCTCGAAAGATATGGTCTTTACATTAAAGTGAGTATTATAATGGTGTGGGTGGACTTCCTTCTATATAAGTTTCGTGGAAATATAGTTGGGGATATATATATATATATATATATATTTACAAAAATGCCATCTCTGTTATAAAGGATGTTGCTGACGATCTACATTATAGACTTCATTTATATACTTATTGGTCAAAGAAGGAATTATGCGTGAAAAATTACGATTTAAAAGGCATGAGTACAAATGAACACAGATGAAGACCACCCTTGAGACGAATCTTTAGATTACTAACCCGGTGGTCGTCGATCTACTCCTCGAGTGAGGAGTGGAACCGGGTTTTTCAATTTATACCTTCATGACAAATTTATTGATTTCTTATATATGTGATCGATGATCAATTATTTTGTTAATTCATTTTAAAATCGGCAATTATTTTATTGTTTATAGTAGATTATTAATACAAGTAGATTATATAATTGAAAAAAATTTATTTGATTCAAATAAACGAGTATTGTCAAATATTTATTTAATACAAATAAATATTAATATAATATAATAATTTAAAAATTTATAATACCTATATAATTTTGCAAATTATAAATTATAAATTATTATTTATAATTTATAAATTATTTTTTTATATTATAATAATATAATATTAAATATTTATTTGACAATAGTCAAATGATTATTTTAATAAAAAATTTTTTTTTTAAGTGTAAATATAAGTAGATTATAATATAAAGATTTATATAATGTACATTTATATAAATAAATTGTTACATAAATATAAATTTATATAACAAAAAAATTAAATTTTATCATGGTTTTTCATTATCTAGGTCCTTAAATTTTGAATTTTAAAAACAGTTTAATAAAATAAAGTAGAGTACTTTACACTCATATATACCTTTGCTTTTATTGTCATTCTTTCATGCAAATATAATAATAACAACTATTTTATGAACAGTTACCGCAGATAAATGTTTGTCATAAATTAAGTATATATACATTTTTATTTCATTTTATACGTGATTCTGGTTAATATTATATTTTCTAAGAAATTTATAAAATACACTTGTTAATTTGTTTCTGCTATATATTTTGGCATCCTGTTGAGACAAAAACAATCTCCTTATATATGTTTCAATATTTTTAAATATATTTTTATTTTATGTTGCGAATTTATTTCTACAAAAAAAAAATTAATAAATAAATAAAATAAAATCAATTGATAATTTTGAAATCACATTTTTTTTATATTTGCTATATGGAATTTGGTTGAATATCCCATAATGTAGGCGGATATACAACATTCAAATTAAAAGCAAGATTTATTGCATATCTGATTCTAGTAAATATCTTTACTATCTCCGCACACGTTCACACTTAATTTTAGACTGAATTATTGCATATTTATTTCTAAATTTCTACAAGTTAGCAAAAAAAAAAAAAAAAAGTGCGAAAAACATCGTCTATTAATCTGATAAACATGATTAATTTTTGAAAGTTATTCTTGAATTCGTTGTTTTTAGACACGAATATGTGATTTTTCATTATATTTATCTTAAAACATATTTTTTTTCCGATCATATTTAAATGCGTCTTGGGTGCATATATTATTTCAAGGGAATAATAATAATTATTCTCTTAAACAAAAATTCATTAATTGACTATTTATATTTAACAATTTGATATAGTCTTAAAAAATGTGCAAAAAAAAAATTTTTAAAGCCAATAGTAATGTATAATGAAATTGTTATTATGAATGATAATGAAATTATTATTACAAGATTAATATATTTATTATCATCAAGAACTTCCTTTCGTTGTATAAAAAAAAGGCAAATGTATGCAGATTACACCTTTGCATACAAGATTATATATACTTTGGGGACAACTTTTCACAAAGTGTGTGGTAAAAATGAAGTTATTGGAATTAAAAAATCAAATTTACTCACAAGAGGCGCAACCATAAAATTATTAATGTAACAAATATTAAATTCACAATGTGAAATAGTTAAAAAAAAAAAAAATTAGTGGAACATTCAAAATAATTTACAATTTTCTTTTTTATTTATTAATTTTTTAATTTATTTATATTTTTATTTACTTATTTAATTTTATAAGAAGGTAAAAAAATAATTTTTCTAATTTTCCAATGTGATTGATTGTAAATTAAAAATTACACTGTAAAATGTAACTTAATTACAAGGGTTTTTTTTTTTTTTGGAAAATTAAACTTTAAACTTCTTGAAATAAGTTCTTGGCACGTTGTGAAGATAAAAGATGTTTTGCTCATGTTCTCTTGGAACCGAGAGAGGAGTGTGGTGGCCATATAAGCTGCGAGTCTCAAGAGTGTGGGCCCCACCTTGTAGACGCGTGGGACCGACACCCACGATTCTGCTCGAAGTAATAAGAGGACCCGCAAAATATCCAAGTCCTGTGCGATTAGATTTTTAAATATTTTTAATTTTTCATATTTCAATTCTATTTATTGAAACATATTTTTTTTAGTTTAAAAAAAAAATTTTCGTAAAATTGTGTAGTTTATACATTTTTTGCGTTGGAAATAACAAATCTTTTTTTTTTTTTTTGTTTTAAATTATTTTGTTTTTAAAAAGATGTGTCATTTTCAATTCACAGCATCACTCTGTACGAAATATCATCTTTATAATGTTGATCTGCAATCTTTTGTTGAAGATTAGAGGTTCCAACTTGAATTTCCGGTTTTCATTGTACAACCTTTTTTGTCTCTCTTCCCCCACTTTTCGAATATTCTTTCTCTCTCATACTTTCTTTCGCAAAGGTAAATGAATGCACTTCTTTCTTTACTACTTTCTTGTTTCTTCTTTCGTCCTTCTCTTTCAGACTTGCGCGGCTGATTCAACGATTCTAAAGACTAGATTGTAAGTGAGACGAGTTGTTTACTTGTTCTTTTTTAGACGCGTAGGCGTAACTTATATATATATATTTTGCATTAGGATATGTGTAGGTAAACGAATATTTCTTTAAAGTAGTAAAAAAAAAATTATTTCATTCAAATAAATATTTACTTGAACCAAATAATTTCAAATAACCAAATAATTGAATTAAATATTTATAATTTTTTCTGTACTTTATTTAATGGAAAATAAAAAGTACATTTTTAATTTTGACTAATTATCATTTTACATTGAAATAGTAATGTTTAATTAATTTAAGGTTTCAATGCCGGATTAAAAGGTTCACAAGCCATCAATGTACATCCGGCAGATTTTCCATCTTCCAAACAGAAACAACTATTGCATTCGCTGTAAAAATTTTTTGCAGGACATGGTGTACCTTCAATGTACAATGCTGGAAATAATTTTTCAATTAGATTTTATAAATAACAAAAAAAAAAAAAGAAATCTAAATTTAAATCACAGTGAAATTTTACTGGAAAATAAAGAAAAAGTGAATTTTTTACAATCTTAATTAGAAATTGACTAAACTTACGTCCCCAACGTGTATCAGCTGAAAAAGACAAAAAAAAATTCTTTTAAAACAATTGAAAGATAAAAAAAATAATATGGAGAAAATAAAGTAAACTTACATTCTTCTTCAGGAGCTGGAGCAGAAGCACAAATTGTAACTAATGTTATCAATAGAAAAGCAAAAAATAATTTCATTTTAAAGTTTTTTTTTTTTTTTTCCTCTTAATGAAAAATAAACGTTTATCTTACTAATGAATGTCGAGATTCTTTAATGGCAAAAGATTTAAATTGTTCATCATTTATATACCAAACTTATAAAGAATAATTTTCCACTTCCAACAAAAGCTGTCAGCGTTAGATAATAATCAACTTCATTACTTATTCACGTAATTACTTGATAGTTGTTTTTATTTAAAAAGAAAATGAAACAAAAAATTTTCCATAAGGAAATTTGATTTTTAACATAAAATTATAATTGACAAAATTTCGTTGTTTGTGCAGAAAATTTAAATTTCTATAGAATTCTCTAAATTAAAAAATATTCTCGTACACATTTATTATAAGAGTTTGCGTGCGACAATTTGCCACGCCCAGGATGCAAGAATTCACACTTTAGTCGTTTTCGAATGTGTCTTATCATTGGGAGGCCCACAAAAGTTGGCCTATCGGATTCATTTTTTTTTTTTTTCGGTACAACTGAAGATCTTCATTTAAAAGAATCGTGAATAACTTATACTTCGTATTCGCAAAATGTTCTTGTGTCACGCTACCAATTTTAAGGTTAAAAAGAAGCTAATTAAAAAAAAATGAAATTTGATTTTTTTTCCTGTTTAAATTTTTCAATACTTTGCGCAGTTATAAGAAGAGCATAACAAATTTGGAATAACATCTTTGCCGACAAGTTGCTTGATCCTTATACATTATGCAAAATTTACATTTGCACAAGATGACACGTGACATTCGTTGATGTTAATGCATCTTCAAGTAATACACGTGAAAATGTGAAAATACATTATTTGAAATGGCTTTTATAGGAGAGGGTCAGTTTCTCCTGTCATTCTCGAGACGTTTTTTTTGCGCGCCACCCACGTATATATGTTATTTCATTCCCGTTGGAAGATTCTTCTTCTTCTTCTTCTTCTTCTTCTTCCTCATGCTGGTTTTCTTTTATAACATTTTACAACGAATATAAGGTGCCCGTGACGAAATTAAGCATCTGATTTACACACATTGCTGTGCGAGTAGTCACTAAGTAGATTATTTCGAATGGAAGCGATGATTGAGGATCAGTCCTCTTTAGATATACAGTGAAGATAACGCGCATTCAACTTGTCATATTCAGAAATTCCACACGTCATTTGTTTTTAAATTAAATTATTAAAAAAAATATTAATGTAAACTTTATTTTCTTACAGAATAATTGCAATTTTAGTATACGTTTCTAAAGAAGATGACAAATTTTCGATTCCTTATAGCGATACTAGCGCTCTTACGGTCAAACTGTTGCAACTCAGGTGAGAGATTATTACAAATGGCGTTTAGATATGCGCATGCGTTTTATAAATGCATTTTTTTTTTTGTTGTAATTATCCTAATTTTTCGTTTTACTTTTTTACGATTGATGATTTATAAGAATATTTTGAACTTTAAAAGTATTGAACGACTTTCGAAAGAGAAGAATTTCTGAATATATTTAATCCTGTTGGACCACGTATACACAAGACGTCAAGGTGAGAGCAAAGAACTGTCGCGTGGCCAACCCACGCAAAATCTAACTTGAAGTTTATCCAAATTGAGTAACTTTTAAGGATTTTCCTGTATGCCGCGCGGCAGTAGTTAATTAGCCTTATCTTATCATGAAGTTCAATAAAAACTTCAACTCGAGCAGGCCCTTAATCTTTTTACCATGATTCCATGCAATTATTTCTTATAAAATAAAAATCGAAGAAAAAATATATATATATATATATATTCAGATGAGAGCCTCTCTCATATATGTTTAATATGGAAATTGGTATTCACGCTCTTGACTTTAAATGTTTAACAGGTAGTCATTTACATTTTTCAGCAAGCTCTTTGGTAATAATTTTTCTTATCGATGTAATTACCAAACGTACATGATTTTTGTGTTACAGAAACCATTTCACAAGGTAGGTTATTGTAATTTAGCCAGAGGGGTGAGAGAGGCCACTGAATTGATTATCGAAAAAAAAAAATGAAAAGAAAATATTATTGTTATTCTAAAATTATTAAATATAAAGTTTGGAATTTAGTTTAATGGTATAAGGTGTGTAGGAAAGATTGTTCTTTGCGGACACGTTTAAAACGAGCTCTTTTTGAAATTAAATGGCATTGCCAAGGGCAAAACAGAGAACGATATATAAATATATATATATATATATGGAGAGATATGTGGCGGGTGGATCGTTCTTGGGGGTAATAAAATCCAGCAAAATGCACATCGCCCAATGCTGGAGGATCATTTTCGCGTGCTGATATATTCCGCAACAGTTTACTACCACATACTTCGGTACTCTGCTCCACAGGATATAAATGGGGCACTTAAGTGGGATGTCGTTTGCACGTAACGTTGCCTTCAAAGCTTACCTACCCAGAACAGGGGACGTTTTGAACACGTCACTTAGGTGTGACATGGTAATTCTCACACAGAATCTTCATGGTTTACTCCCCGAAATACACGAATTTTAGATGCTTCTTAATCCATATGGCTTAACTTGCTCTTCGAACTATATATATATATATATTACGAAATATTTTTTTTAAATTTAAATTTGCCATTAACTATTAAATTATTAGTTTTCGATTTTTGTTTAGAGCTTTAAATTAGAATTTCGTTAAAAAGTTATACAAAATTCTTGACTATCGAATTATTATGAAAATACCTCAAGTTGACATCAGTGAGAAATTTACCACTGAGAGCTAAATAATTTTCCAATATATTGCTAGTATGAATAGAGTAAAGTCTTAAATTCTATATAGAAACTAAGACTTTAGAAAACAAGTTTTGTATATATAGTATATGCGAATGGTCATTTATCATTTGAGTAGTTATTGGCTACCTATATAACAAATAACATTATTGTAATAAAGAATATTGTAAAACAAAAAAATTAAATACAGTCAAAATTTGTTATTTCTTCAATTAAATTAAAAAAAAAAATAACAAAAATCATTTAATTTATTTCTAATAAATTTTAAAAAAGGATAATTTTAGATCTTTTGTGTATGAGATCCTTTTTGTAGATCCAGGAACGATGATGCTCCAGACAGTATATATATATATAAGTGCATACCTCGATCGTATCTCGAAGACCGTATTATCAAAAGCTGCTTGCTTTCGTCAGTAAAAATGTAAATTGATGCTGCTCTTGTCGCTACCGATTTCGAGAGAATATAATGGAGATTATCGTAAAAATGAAGCTCAAAAAGAATTTCAAACCATCAGACATATATATATATATATATATATATATATATATATATATATATAAATATGCAAAGCAAAAAATATTGCAATTCAATATACAATGCAATTTAAATTATTTATGAATTTAAATTTTAAATCATTTAACTTTCTCCTAATTACCATAGTAATTATTTTTATTTTAATTAATTTTAATGAAAAATGTACGTTATTCCATATTTAGGTAACAAATAACTTTTATAGAATTAAGCGCAAAGATTTCGCGGAATCTGTAACCTAGTTTCGCGAATTTTGTGATTTAATTTCGCGACCTAGTTTCGCGTATTTTGTGATTTGGTTTCGCGACTAAGGTTTGCGAAATCCGCAATTTAATTTCGCAGAATCCGCGAACTAGTTTTGCAAATTGCGTGATCTGAATTCGCGGAAATCGTGACCTAGTTTCGCGAAATCCGTGATTTCATTTCGCGGAATCTGTGACTTAATTTTTCGAATTTCGCGACCTAGTTTCGCGAAATCCGTGATCTAATTTTGCTAAATTCGCGATCTACTTTCGCATAATCTATGAACTACTTTTGCAAATTTCGTGATCTAATTTCGCGACCTAGATTCGAGTATTTCGTAATCTAGTTTCACGGAGTCCGTTCTCTAGTTTTGCGGAATCCGCAGCCTAGTTTCGCAAGTTTCGTAATCTTATTTCGCGACGTAGTTTCGCAAAATCAGCGATCTTCTTTCGCGGAATCAGCAATCTAGTTTCGCGTATTTCGTGATCTAAATTCAACGGAATCCGTGATTTAGTTTTGCAAATTTTGTGATCTAATTAGTCAACCTAGTTTCGCGTATTTCGTGATCTAGTTTCGCGGAATCCGCGAACTAGTTTTGCAAATTGCGTGATCTTAATTCGCGGAATTCGTGACCTAGTTTCGCGAAATCCGTGATTTAATTTCGCAGAATTCGTGACCTAGTTTTTCGAATTTCGTGATCCAATTTCGAGACCTAGTTTTGCGGAATCCGTGATTTAATTTTTTTGGAATCCGTGATCTACTTTCGCAGAATCTCTGAACTAGTTTTGCAAATTTCGTGATCTAATTTTGCGACCTAGTTTCGTGTATTTCGTAATCTAGTTTCACGGAATTAGTGATCTAGTTTTGCGGAATCCGCAGCCTAGTTTCGCAAGTTTCGTGATCTTATTTCGCTACGTAGTTTCGCAAAATTCGCGATCTACTTTCGCGGAATCAGCAATCTAGTGTCGCGTATTTCGTGATCTAAATTCGCGGAATCCATGATTTAGTTTTGCAAATTTCGTGATCTAATTACTCAACCTAGTTTCGCGTATTTCGTGATCTAGTTTCGCGGAATTCGCGAACTAGTTTTGCAAATTGCGTGATCTTAATTCGCGAAATTCGTGACCTAGTTTCGCGAAATCCGTGATTTAATTTCACAGAATTCGTGACCTAGTTTTTCGAATTTCGTGATCCAATTTCGAGACCTAGTTTCGCGGAATACGTGATTTAATTTTTTGGAATCCGCGATCTACTTTCGCAGAATCTCTGAACTAGTTTTGCAAATTTCGTGATCTAATTTCGCGACCTAGTTTCGCGGAATCCGTGACCGAGTTTCGCGTATTTCGTGATCTAGTTTCGCGGATTTCGTGATATAATTTTGCGACCTAGTTTCGCGTATTTCGTGATCTAGTTTCGCGAATTTGGTGATCTAAATTCGTGGAATCCGTGATCTGGTTTCGCAAATTTCGTGATTTAAATTAAATTGAAAAATTAAATTATTAATATGATGGATTAATTCATTTTATAAAAATTGTAATTCTGACTGTAAACGAATTCTCAGT